AAAATCTAAGTTTTATAAAAATCGGTCCAGCCTTTATAAGTAATACATGGTGTAATTAACCCGACTTTTTTTATGAAAGAGGGGGCAGACGAGCAGACGCGTCAAAGTGACTACCGCCGCCCATGAAAGCTTGCAACTCAGGAGTCACAAACGCGTTGCCTTTGTTTTGTACATCAAGAAAAAATATAAAATTAAACGATAATACATAAAGTTATATAGTTTCCCATAATGAAAAGAGGTAACTGGCAGCTTATAATAATAGTGACTTTACACCGACTCAAAATTAGTAGAAGCTTTTGCTGAACTACTGCCACCTGTGCTTTTGCCGCCAATTGTTTTCTTTAAAGACTAACCTAAAAACATTTACTTTAAAACATCACACCAAACTTGAACATATTTTGAGAAATCTCGATGTCTCAGGACCCTAAGACTATAGAAATTTACAACACTTAATTAATTAATCATCATTTAACAGCTCCTCATATTCCCGGCTGGACATAGGACATCTCTTTGAAAAGAGGTTTTAGCCTACTTTACCAGACTGGTCAAACGGGTTGGTTTGAGATTGGTTTCAAGTTTTCCTTCTCTTTGCAGTGCTATTCTCCTGCAGGGTTTGCTTCCTCTCCAAGAGTTGGCTCTTACGACACCTGCGCCAATATGTGTGTGGAGGAACGGGTGTCATGACCCTCCAACACCCAGGGAGGATCTTTCGACCAGGCGAGGCATGGATCCTCAATTTGTATTGGAGGGGCATGACACCCGTTCCTCCACAGTGGTGACCCCGACGTGATTGGAAGCAGCCTGCAATAAAAATCCCCAGCATCAGGATGCCACCATCGTGTACACTCCCACAACGAGAGGCAGCAATTAAGTTTCAGCCAGCAACCTCGGCCAGAACAGGGACACCCCCTGCAAGTAGTGACCGCTCCAGCCTGGTTACCCCTACGACCTCTTCAGCATCTAGGCACAGCACACTGCATCTACGTTCCACATAAGAAGAGCATATCTCTCCCGTCTACGCAGCAACCTCCCCGACTAACAGGGGACTTCACCGCAGCACCGCACCCCGCATGCCATCCCGACTCACTGGGACAAGCAGCATTCAGTTCCAACTAACAGGAACTGCATAGACAGCTGACTCATCATATATTGACCTTCGGTCTTGGAGGGGAGTGATGTGGCGACTTCCACTTACGGTGAAACGAAGAAACATACTACAGCGCCATCTAACGAAGACACACAAACTACAGAGTAACTCCTGAACGAGAATTGCTAATCCTGTGTAATATGAAGAATTATTTCGCCGATTAGCATATATACTTCCTAACATCAACCGTTGGGCCGCGGCCTGCCAGGCTTGATCATTTCGCCTGAAGGCCTTGACACCCGTTCCTCCACATGCGCATGAGTGATATTTACAGTAATTATCGTAGTACTCAGCCTCAGTATTTTCAGTGTGTAAGAATAGCATAAATCCCTGAAAAGTGTATTTCCCTTTACAAGGATGGTCAAAGAGACTATTATTAGTAGAAAGCTTCAGAAAAAGCAGAATAATGTTTTATCTAAAATTCATTGATATGTCAACATCTTGGCATAAATAACAAAAAAAAATGTATGGTCTGTTCAAAAAATCTTTCGAGACCAAAAAATTAATTATGGCATTTTCTTTTTTAGTATATCTAAAGCTTAATCATCATCATCATCTCAGCTGAAAGACGTCCCCTTCTGGACATAGGCTTTCCCCAAGGCTCTCCGCAACAACCGGGCCCGTGCTGTCCGCATCCAGCGACTTCATACCGTGTATTCCTATATTTCTATTACTCTTGTGACCCCAAACCCCAGAAATTAAAATGTTACTTGATATGAAATATAATTCAGTCCTCATACGGAAAATATATGAACAAAAGATAGAAATATGTATAAGGTCGTCTTTGTAAAATTCAATGAAAAGTTGATTTAAAAAATATATCGCGTCTTAAGGCTTGGGCCGTTGAACCGACGTAGCCGGTGATAATAGGTACAATAAACATCAGCCGCGGAGATCGTGTCGGAGCCAAACTCACAATAAAATATCCGTCTTATTTGCTATTGCCAATGGTAATCGTGATGTATTTCGTTTGAAAAGTAACTACATAGGTGTCGTAACGTGAAGATACCTGAATATTTAATTTAAATTTGTCAATTTCAAATATAAACCATGAGTTGCGGCTTCAAGACATACATAAGCATCTACATATTTGTGTAACTGTTGAGTAAAGTTCAATATCCAACCGAAATAAAACATGTATTCAGAGACAGGTATGCTTTGGGAGTCTAACAACAAAGTCTTGTAAAATTAACTAAAAGCTTTTATATCCTAAATATATATAATTGCTTATTTGTGAAAGGTTTTCTGAAAAGTCTTTTATTTTATTAATTTTTATATTTTATTTAATTATTTATGTTCAAATAATAATTGTACAATGGCGGACTTCATGCCACAGGCATTTTCTTCCAGTCTCTCCTTTTGGATGGTAGGGAAATGTAGGTGCACTAGAGATAATAATTGAAATGTTGGACAGAAACAATCTTTTACTTTTTCTTACCTTCGATACGTATAAAATATACTGGAAAAGTTAAACAAATTAACAATATTGACCATTTTGACCTAAATTCGGATGATGTTAGATATTTTACTAGTATATGCAGAGCACATGAATTAGTACAATGTGAAAACAGAACTTTAAATCGTTCACAGAAATTGCATTGATTACATATGACAAAGATGTTGTCAATTGATTTACAGAGATAAAATCCAACGTGGCGTAATGGAATTCTTCGTAATATTTGATTTGCAACTGAGTTGCTCATAAATTAGTCGTGTAACTTTAGGACACTTTTTATTTATTTTTCTTATGCAAGTTTAGTATGTGTACTGATAATTCTGCAATTTTTTTAATTGGCCATTCCCTTTTAGATAAATTAGAAAAGTATTATATTTATTGTAGAATATAAATGTATATGTTTTAACCGAATTTGAATAGTCTAAACTTTTCCATCAACTTTTTGTCTAACTTTATCTATACTTCTCGATCGTACAATTTTTTCTCTAAAATAATGGTCAAACTTATAAGTCAGAAGTATCTTCATATCTGGAACTGACTATGTGAATAAAAAGGTGAAATACATATTTAAATTTTGACGGAAACAGATATTATTTTTAGTAGTAGTTTATATGACAGCAATTTCGTTTTTAAAAGTGAAAGTGAGTTTGAGATCTCTACTAAGTATAAACAGTTATACTTAGTATAGATAATATTTCAATACTACTTAATGACAGCATTAAGTAGTATTGAAATATTATCTAAATGGGTAAAACGAGACTTAATCGCTATATTAATTAGGTAGTAGTAGTAGTAGTAGGTACTTAGGTTGCTAGAAAATGCGGAAAACAGTTTTGTTAATATTGCACTAATAAATAATGAAGGTATGTTTGTAATTAAAAAAACCTTGAAGTATGGGGCTAAACAACCATGTAGAACTAGATTATTTATCCACTCATACTTTATATTCTAAATGTGAAAGTGAGTTTGTTTGTTACGCTTTCATGCCTAAACCACTAAACCGATTTTAAAAAGTATCTATCAATGGAAAGCCAAATTATCAACGAGTAACATAGGCTACTCTTTACCACGAGCCACGGGCAAAAGCTAGTATGTTAAATTTATAAAGCCGCAACTCTATTTTATTGCTCTCGACACGATAATTTACATAAAATAACAAACAGCAATAATATTCATTGTTATTTTTTTTCATCTTATCTAATACGGTGTTATTTACATATATTATTACGTATTTTATTAATATAGTCATAGGTTCGTGTGGTGATGAATTAATAAAACAGTTTAAACTTCATTTGAGTTGATTAATTCGAGACGCAGGTAGATTTGGGATTGGCCACTACATTGCAAAAACTTCTTGGCTCAATGGCAAGAACAGACATCATCCAACCATTCACAGTAAAAATAAAGTCAGTTTCCGTATTACAAGTCTCTTGAGTAGCGATAAGTATTCCTGTTATGTTTATTATTAGTATGTAGTATATTATTCGTTTTTACAAATTAAAAATTATTATATGCCATTTTTGAGTATTTTTTAGGTCTTGTAATAAAAATACCATAAGACACGTCACGACACGATAAAACTCATGAATATCACGATGTAACGATAAACGAGCTGTGTCGATTTGTGTTGTGTATAAGGTAGATGGTTTTAATTAACTTGAAATTTGATTTAAAACATTTTTAACTGCCGTTATATTCTTACAATAGGATAATACATGTGTAATTTATTCATATGATATAATTCATAAGTCTGAAATTTTATAGCTATAACTACTCGTATAAAAACATAAAATAATATTGTTTATTGTAATCGTCTAGGGAAAATAGTAATAACATATTTCTAATTTTAAAAAGTCAGTTGTTTCTTTTGACGTTTATAGTGGCTTAATTTTTAATAATGTAGATAAACATACATACAATATTTAAAACAGTAGAAAGGCCTGAATTTTGAAAGGAGAACGACTATCACAAATCAAGTACAATATTTCAGTTTGAAGTTGAGTTTATATGTATATTTTCCCTGCTGAAATACTGTCTTCCTTATAGCAACCCGGCAACTGTGTTCTTGGGTGCTTTCCCTTCGAGTGGCTTAACAGGCCTTGAAGCCTCATATTACATGTTTTCTTATCGTTTCCCCTTTTTTTCTTTAACTATTTTACTCTCGAATATAATGTTATGAGTCCCTGTTTATTTTTTGATTATTGTCCATTTTTTTATGTATAGAGGTAAACAATTAGAAAACCTTTTTCATTTCTATTTTTGGACATAATAATCAAGCAAGAAAAGTGTTCATCCATACAAAACACATCACGTTTCACAGGAATTCAGTAAAAATTGTTTGAAAGAAACTTTTCATTGACTTTTGGCAATATGTATATATATTTTTATTTTATTAGGATGGCAGCATCGCACATCCTAAGTGCTGTTGAGCCGACAGTTGGAGGGGGCGCGAGCGGGTCTCGGAGTGGCCGCGAGAGAGAAGTTAACGTCGCGCTGGATGATAGAGAACTATGGGTCCGGTTTCAGACCCTCACCAACGAAATGATAGTCACTAAGAATGGAAGGTAAAAAGTGATACTATAATTTAATTTTAAATATGTATCGGAATTTTATTAATAATCAGAGAGACAAACACGTCAAACTCCTCTTCAATATTTATTGAGAAATACATATGACGTAACCTGATGAATTCACACAAGTAAAACTAGCGGACTTAGATAAAAGAACATCATAAATATTTTAGTGCTAATAAAACCATGAAATTGGTGTAGAATACACAAAAATAATTTAGAACTAGCAATAAGATGTTTTTTATAGAATTTTATATCCGAGGTGAAAATATTTATTAAATATTAATACAAGACCTAATATAGATATTTTTTGTGATTCATTAGGCTATTAATGTTAATATTTAAAAGCTCTAACAAATAACGAACCGTCAACAACTTGAGTCTTTGTGATTAGAATGTACTATTTTTCTTATCATGTGTGTATCAATTCATGATGATTATTTGATAAATTAAGGTGGTTTTTTATATGAATTTTCTTTATCACAACAACTTTGCTGTTTTTCTAAGCTGGTAAATTATAAAAGAATTTTTGCGTAATAGGCCTATAGATTTTATGCAGTACGATAAAACGAAGAGAGTAGAACATTCCTAAATAAATTGCATTTATGATACAACTATCGATATTTTGTTATTACCTACTATTGTTATGTTTGTGAAGAAAATTAGATTAGATTATTGTTGACAAATGTCTTGCTGCCAAATATTGTATTGTATTACAAAAAAAATGTCTAAGTATCAGTATCAGTGTTTTAGAATGCATAGTTAAAGCTCTGTTCAGTTTGCGTTTGGGTTAGATAGAATAAGATATGTAAAGTTCGCTATGTCGTCTCCATATATTCGTTCTCGGTATTTACAATTTTCTTATTTATAAGGCATCAAAATATTTTCATAATTACTACAAATATATAGCTGTAAACTTAGATTATTATTAAATATAGTAAAACTCTGAATAATAGGAATAAATAGTTATAAGTAATTCAAAAAAAATTGATCAAAGATTTTGTTAGTCTACTATTTTTCGATGTACCAATATGAAGCAAAATAGAAAACTAATCTTTTAATAAAGTATTGGCCACACAGACTAGGCGCAACGCAAAAAAGCATTGATTATTACATACACGGTCACATTTTGCCAGTGCTAACCGCTCACCGACCGGCGGCTAGTTTTCAGCTATTAACGCGGTAGGTCTTACTTATTAACGCTGGACGGCTAAATGAATCCGCCCGTTCCGAAGCAATGACGGAACCCTTACCCTTGACGATGTGACGTCTGTTCTTTTGAAACTCGATGATAGCTGCTGCTGCTGCTATTATCGAGTTTCACAGATATTATGTTTATAGTAAAGTATTTATTTGCTATAATTCCACTAAGGTGGCAAACGTGTGTATCAACTTTTCGCATTCAATTACATTCGCATGGGTAAACCTTCTTTTATGTCTTTTTGAGTACTATTTTATTTTAACGCAGTAGTAATAGAAAGTAGCCATGGTCATCGTCTAAATCTTCCTTTAAATTTGAAAATTAACATTAAAAAATAAAGGCTAAACATCAACGTAACAATACCAGTTGAATACCAATACGTACTTTCCAGAATTGGCTAAACCGACTTGTTTTTAAATTTATCCAAATACTTATGTGTACAAGTGCCAGCGTGACGAAGTAATAAATTTTAAAATGCACTTAAATTTCAAATTTGTTTTTATTTGAATAATTTCATCTAACACTGGTTGGCACTGAACAATGGCATGTAGGTAACAGAAGTAGAATGTAAATATATAAATACATTTTTAACTCAAATGAATGTATTTTTTGAAATTTGATTGAAAAAGATAATTTTATGATTAGCTTGTACTTCTATAGTAAATGATGATACACGATTACATAAAATCCACATATTACCAAAACGTAAACTCAAACGCAAAATATCTTTATTTCACGAAAAAAATAAAAATTATTTGAAATCGTCTCTTGTATAGACTCTAAAGTCATAGACCAACACAGCAACAATATTATATTTTGTCAAAATTTAGCATACTAAATATATACGTTTTCAAAATCCTATCTTATCTTACATACTCGTATATGCCTGTGTCGATCTACAACCGGCCATTTCCAAGGGGTTGAGCCTTATGAGAAGAAAGAGCAAACAAACTCCCGGCCACTCTTGGCATCATTAAATATGTATACACTACATTCTTTTGATGTGTGCCAGTATGTAAGTTTTAAGGACTAAAAGGTAAGAAGGCAATGAAGAGAAAACAAGATATAGAAAAAAGATCGAATAAAAAAGAAAGTGAAGTAAAACATTAAAAAATGGAAAATTATATAAAAGACACAATAGCGGCACATCACATTTGCACTACGAAATAGTCTGTGCTAAATTACAGTGATATGAACTTTGCCAATGGTTTTATAATAAAATATTAAGGTTGGTGAAGGTATTCCTTAATAATAACGATTTATGCTGTAACGGTTCACTTTTTGTAAAGGACCTGTAGGTCCTTTACAAAAAGTGTACCGTTCACAGTCAACCATTACACAACATTAGATATTTTTATTATATAATGATTGATGGCAAACAATTATATTTTGTGTCAACAACCCGTCAAAGTGATGTATTTATAAGCAATTGTCATAACTGCTGGTGGCAGAACACAGGTGTCCATATCATTTTATTAAGTTACCAAATATCCATACGAACTTCTTCTTGGATGAAAACACGACACTCGCTGGTTATGGTTGTGATGGAATAGAGACTAAAATCCTCGAAAAAGACCTATTTCTGAATTTTTAGCGAGGCCTCATACAGCTTTAAATATGACCATAGTTTTCGGTGACGGTATAATCAAACTGTAACATTCACCAGGCGGACCACATCGATCTATTACCCGGTTATTAATTTACAGATTTCTTAACAAAAATTTGAATTGGTGTGAATATTAGTACACTAGTACGTGATGAATATTAATGGAGTTTCTCTCTGTATTAAGTAATTCCAAAAACATTCTACTTAAAATTACAATTCAGCAAAACTGTATTTGTACTGAAAACAGTATATTAAACAATTTTTGTTTTGTCAACTAATAACTTGTTTGACAACTAGCCGTTTACATTGCAATAAAAGGTTTACTTATCCTACCGATATCCCATATCAGTGTCCAGAACTTAAAAATAGCTCTTATCTCGAATCTAAGAAGGGTCATAATTAATAGACTGATTATGTAGTATAAAACAAAGTTGCTTTATGTGTCTGTCGGTATATCCACTAACTCCTCTCTAACCCTGCAACGGATTTTGATACGGTTTTCACCCTCAGTAAGATAACGTTTCAAAAAGGTTAAAATGTGAACAATAAAACCTAAATAGGTTTTAATGTAAGAAGAAACCATAAACTGTGTTTTGAAACCAAGTCCTAGAAAAATAAATTTCCATGGAAATTTATGTTAAACCTTGAGATATACTTAAAACTTAGCTTAGAACTAATGGCCTAGAGATTTACAGTTTTACAGATTTACTAAATTACACCCGTGCGAAGCCGGGGCGGGTCGCTCGTAATATTTAAGTGAGAGGCAAAGAGAATGTTCATGGTGATTAATATCCGTAAGAACGTAGCTGTTACTACTTCACCCAACAACAGTACAGGAACAGTAAATATTTCATAAAATATGTGCAATGTTACGGCTCACCTCACAGTTGTGACCTACGGGTTTCAAAGAACCTCACAATACAAAGCAATCCAAAAAACTAAATGTCAATAAGAATTGAGTGTAGCTCGATATAAGCTGCAGGGGCAGTTGTTATTACTTACGGACAAATTAGAAAATTGTAGTAATTTATAAAAGATCTATTCAAAAATACCCTTCATTATGGGATAAACATGAAAAAAGACACACCCATGAATGCAGGAACGGACAGAAAGAAGAACACGGCGAAACTATAAGGTCTTCTCGTCAATACTAGGGAATCCTAAAAAAGAACCGACTTTAAGTAATGTAGTCTAAAACATCTAAACCTACAGCTACGGCGTAAACTAAGAATAAACGGAAACACCGGGAACGGTTTCACCAAATTATACATTTTCTTCCATATTTGTAAAGTACAAATTTAGCTGAAACTAGATACTTTGTAGCAAAGTTATCTTCATCTTTGAACCAATTGAAGTGGATCAACACTACATGAAGGAAATACCGTTCCTATTTTTGATTAGGTGATTTTGCCATCGAAATCAACAAAAAATAATAATTAAGAAACTAAAAAAGAATTGAAGAAAATTAACAAGCTTAAACAGTGGTATTTAATCAAAAATATTTATAAACTAAATAAATTTTATTTACATTAGCTGGTTTAAACGTTACATCAACAGTAAATGTAGCTGTTCTGTTGTGCCAACTAGAACACCTTTGAAAGAAAAAAGAAATAGGAACATGTTAAACTGTACTTTGCCTTAATTTTGTTCCAGACGAATGTTTCCTGTAGTAAAAGTAACTGCTAGCGGTCTGGATCCGACGGCTATGTACACTGTCCTCTTAGAGTTTGTGCAAGTAGATTCTCATCGATGGAAATATGTTAATGGAGAATGGGTATGCTTTTTACTTTTATTTTAATTATGTGATCATTTTTAACATTACATTTTCAGTGTTTGTACTTTTAACTCACCTTCATCCTTTTAATACTCTTAATTAAATTTTACTGCTAAAAGTCTCAGTTATAATTTGAAATATTGTAATACAATTTTGTCAAATATCTAAATCTCTCTCTCTGTTTTCAGGTGCCTGGTGGTAAAGCAGAAGTACCGCCATCAAATGCGATCTACATTCATCCTGAAAGTCCCAATTTTGGAGCACATTGGATGAAAGAACCGATATCCTTCGCCAAAGTGAAATTAACCAATAAAACAAATGGAAACGGACAGGTATTAATACTTTTTTGATAAAATTTAACTGAAAGATAAAAGAAAACGCTTTGTAAAATCTCAACTGTGCATTTAAATTTTTCACTGCTAGTTATGATGTTCTACAGGCATATGTAAAAGTTGTAGGTACATGTACTTCTAGATGTGCACAGAAATAGGATATAATATACGATAAAAACTAGTTTGTTATGTCGCAGTAATGCATGATTATGATCATCTAAATAATAGACGGTAAAATGCACGTGTCATGTCCTATGCTGTATTTTATCCAGACAGGTTGAGATAGTCAAGCAATTTTGGTATGTTTATAAAAAGAGAGGTTTCATTAGTTTTTTCCCAGAAAAGAACTGTGTACTTATATCAGATCAGTAATTGACGAAAAAACTGCAAACCGTTTTTTATTGATATTCTTAAATATTTTAGAAAACAATTTTTCCCTGTAAACATATCCATGAAAAATAAAACAGAATTAGATTGTGAGTTGTGTATTTCTATAGCAGAACAGATTTCGGAAAAGTTACTTACAATGCTAATAGTCTAGTAATAATATGAATTAATTTACATGTAATGCATCTGCACGCATTTATAGTTATGTACATCAACGATTCCGAGATAAACATTCTCCAGATAAGTATCTTCGTAAAGTTAGCCACAAACATTTCATTTATATTGTATGTCATGAACATAAATGAGCCGAAGAAGGATAAACACAAATAACGAATTCAATATTTATAGCGGTCTCCACGGCTAATTAGGTACCTGACCAAGCATAATAATTAGTTCACAGTATTGTCAGAGCACTCATTTTATGACAGATTTCGATAGCGAGGTGTTACAATGCTACAGTTCCGTGGTGGCTACCGCTAGTTCATAGAAGCCAGTTCTCACGGTTGTATGTGGTGCGAATGAATATGAAAGCAAACATCTGATACATCTAGATCCATATGTTGACGGCTCGGTGTGAAATCTGTAGCTTTACCAACTGTTTAGCGGCTGCCTGTACGCACTATCATTTGTAATAATTATTGTCTCGACGTTATATTTACATCGCACATATTTTAGATATAAGTTAAATGCCCCCGTCGTAGACCTAATGTTACTATCATTGTTATCCAATTAAGCCACAAATGTGCTTTCACTATTACGTTACTTTTTTTATCATAACTCTTGCCTTAAAATGTAATTTTTAATATCGATCAATGTTTATAATGTTTAGGTAGTAGTTTACACTGGTTAAGTAGTCTTAAGAAACCTACTACTTTATTTTAAGAAATCGTATGTCCATGTCCAACAAGCCCGATCATGATATTGTCTGTGTCGGTGAGCCGGTGAGTTGTCGGTAATGTCATGTCAGTAGATTACTAAAATGAATTCTTTTAAACTTAAGTCTACAAAAAATATATTTTAAACACATTATAATATTATATTATTTGACGGCCGGATGGAGTAGTAGTTTGTGTAACGGATTACGGCCTGCAATGCTTTAAGGTCGATTGCCGCTCATGTCAAACATTTGTGTGTATGAAAATTTAATGTTTGATTTGGTCTGGGTGTTTCTATGTATAATATGAGTGTATGTACAAAAAAAGTATAGTATTATATCAGTTGTATAGTTACTACAAGCTCTGCTTAGTTTGGGATTAGACGGCATTTTGTAAATTTGGTAGAATATTAATATATATTATATTTTTATTAATATGACTTAAAGCGAATTTACGTACATAGTTAATGTATTTATTTAAAAATAACTTTATAAAGGAGAATTTATAAAATATATTCTGATTTGGGGTTGTTTATGACTTTGTAATATAAAATCCTGCACCATTTTTCGTGGGTGTGTAATGGATATAAAAAAAATATGTATTTAAGTACTTTTAACCGTGTAGTCCGCTTATGATTTATAGACTAGTTGGGCTGTGTAGTTAGTTTCAGTGCATTACTCTTAGTTTTGATAGTTTGCCTTAATTAACACTAATTGTGCTTTCAGATTATGTTAAACAGTTTACATAAATACGAACCTCGAGTGCACCTAGTGAAAGTCGGCACGGATCTACGACGCATCATGACTTATCCTTTTCCCGAAACGCAATTCATAGCAGTCACTGCCTACCAGAATGAAGAAGTAACTTCGCTAAAGATTAAATATAATCCATTTGCAAAAGCATTCTTGGATGCGAAAGAAAGACCTGAAGGATATTATCAAAGGGATTTTGTGAGTCCTCATTATCCGCAACAGAGCTCGTCACCCCATCAGTATCCGCAATGTGAGTACAGCTTAAGGATTGATTAAATAAATACAAAGCTCGAATAGAATATGCTCTATTGTACACCAATTACAGTATGTTGATTAAATATTACAGTTGGCCAATGGGCGGCCTTAATGCTAATAGTAATCTCTTACAGGCAACCTTTGGATGGACAAATCGACAGTAGATGAGAAAAAACAGTGGGTAGTCTAGGTGTATTGCAGCTAAAGTAGTGTATAAATAAATATACATATTTATATTATAAAATTATACATATATACACATACATACAAATACATCTATATTATATATACAATAAAACAATTTATATTGATAACCATGAAATCATTAGTTATGTACAGTTATTGAAAGCAAAGAGAACCTATGAAGCCAAGTAGTGATCTTTAACCATATTTTTATATGCTGTCAGTGTTTGGGCACGTCTATGTATATCAGCAAAACGTTCCATAATCTGACAGCCTGCACCGTGAAAGATTTGTCATAGAATATGGTAGTCTGGCTAGGTACCATTAGCTCCAAATATTCCGACGACTTTAGGGATTTCAGATGTGTGTCACTGAGGAACACAAAACGTTCCTTTAAGTAAGGTCGTGTAAATGGATTGAATAACATACTATAAAGTATGGAAAGAATTTGTGTATTCCGTCGAAGTCGAATTGGAGCCACTCGATCAATTCACGAAATTGAGTCACATGATCATATTTGTGTAAATCAAATATAAATCTAATGCAGAAGTTTTGAAGGCGCTCAAGTTTATCAAGTTGCTCCTCAGTGATATCGAGATAGCTGACATCAGCGTAATTGAGTACAGGTTTTTTTCACGCTCACACGATAGCTATGCCTAAAAACCAGTTTAAATATTCTTTGTCAGTCTGTCTGTTTGTTCCGGGTAATCTTTAAAACGGCTGGACCGATTTTAATAATATTTTCCTACCAGGTAGCTGTCTATATAAGGAGTAACCTAGGTTATTTTTCCTCTCAGAAAAAACCCTATAGAATTTTGCCCGGTCCATGTATCGAACCCAAGGCCACATTGACTGCAGTCGCGTGTCGTGCTTCACCATTAAGGCAGCGCTTTTTAAATTCCACACAACGAAGTCGCGGGTACCAGCTAGTTTTTTCTCTCGGCAATATGTTATGATTATTAGCTTACCCCTTTTTTTAACCCCTTGAAAGGTGTTACCGTTTTTCTGTCCCATCCCCTGACGAGTGAAAATTAAACTATTAGTTAAAACAAATAAACTAAACTATCGTATTTATAATGTTACAGTTAGAATAATAATTAAATTAGGTCCACAATTTTATTGTTATTCTAACTGACTGATTTTAATGTGCGTTGTGTAACACTAAGAAGACAGATTTAAATTATTAGGAATGTGTGGTTTAAACAACGCGTGTTTCCGGGGTACAGCTCGACTGTTTGAATTTGATATAGGTGTTTATTTGATCATATGATCACATCTTCTATTGTAAATTTCTAGTGTAGTGTAATGGTACCCCAGCCTTTAGTTACGAAGTTCAATTAATATTAAAATATCAATTTACTGTGAAACACAAATTCTAGACCGAGCGAGCCCGCTCGATCATAAGTCCCTACCGATATTTCCCTACTGTCTACTAGTACCTAGGCCCTGGTACTGGCCTCAATTCTGCTATTTTGTGTTAACGCCAAGCCACTGCTATTCCATTGACACGCTATTGAGATGCCATTGAGACCCCATTGACATCGGTCAAAATATCAGTATTCTACTAACTTAATTCACAGTGTCAATAGACTGCCGATATAGTAATATATGATATCAACAATGTTGCGATACCTGAAAATTAAATATATCATTTTCTTACATATTTAAAATGTTTCGTTTACCAAACTGTTCCAAAGACATCGACGACGTTTGTATCGGTGACAAGTCATTGGTCATATTTAGTTAGTAAAATAGGAAAAGTGCAAAACTATTCCGACAACATTCCATAGACAGCCTATTGATACAATATTAAAATAGAAGATTAGAGGCCCAGATAGTGGGATTTTTTGTCCATCCACTGTTTTGAAAATGCAGATCCATTTTGTATATTCCAAAAAAAAAGACTTAATTATTTTAAGTTACCTTACACTAGACGCGGGCAATAAATTGCTCCTGAATTAATTATGCAACAAAATGATTTTTTTTAATGTCAGAACACTGATAACAAGTTATTAATAATCCTTTACTAATGCATTACAACAACTTTTTAGGGTAGAAATTACATTAAGTTATTAAAAAAGTTGGACATTGCAAATTATAACTTCATTTATTAGTAATATGTTGTTTTAAAATGTCTTTTATGCTTTTTTTTTATGATTTAAAACTTTTCGTAGGAAGAAACGTAGGAAGAAATGGACGTAAAATTTTCAAGTATCTTAAGTACACAGGTAGGGATAAATGGAAAAAATCCAACTTTCACATTAGAGATATCGGTAGGATATGAAAACTACAGTTTATACCCACCCAAATTCGGGCATTGACATTTCTACATCATGGTGTAATTTGCCAAACATTATAAAGTACCTTACACATTTACTTTTTCCGTAGTCGGTGGTTGGTTCGTGACTTCCCAATCGTTGTACGGGAGCAGTAATTCAGCTTCTAGAAGACCAGCACCTTACCCACCGCGGCCACCGTCACGACCAAGGACTCTATCACCACCTTGTTAGTATTTAAGAGAAGAAATTACAAAATTACATATTGAAATGTAGTGAAATAATAACCTTTAGAGTAATTTTATTAACTTATTCATTCAATTAAAATTGTTTGCTTGCCTTTAATTTACTTTACAAACCTGTGCATTCTGTGTAGTAAGTGTCTGTGACTACTGTTCACTTTAAATTTCAAATAATAAAATATTGACTCTTTATTTTTTAGCTACTTACAGCAGCTCTGAACGGACGACGACAGCGCCAAACGGCGGTAGCAGCTACACATGGGCGAGCAGTAGCGGTTACTGGAGTTCTACTCAAGGCAGTAACTCTCCCCAACCAAATACCTCGCCTGCACCATATCGCACTCCTCCGCATGCATATCCAGCCCCTCTTGAATATTCACCAGCTCCTCCTACTAGCACTTCTGCGCCGTCTTCGGCGCCTGCTACACTATACCCTTTACAGTACGAAACTCCGGCACAACATCATTCGCCATATTATCAACATGCTTATGCGCCTTACGCTCATCATGCTATTGAAGATATTTCCTACTGGCCTAATAGGTAATTATAAATTTTCTTTTGTTAAATCTGTTACGATCTCTTCGACAGAAAATTATTGATTAACCATATTTTTCAGTTTAAACAGTTACGGTTATCAACCGTCTGAGTACGTTGGAACGGGAGAAGTGACGTACGGTACTGAGGGCATGAGTTTTGGACCAACAGGGCCTACTTTGGAAGCAGCCACGACCAGTGAAAGTAGATCCACGCCTCCTAGGCAAGAACACTCTCAAGGCGATAGAGAATATAAATTTAGTACAGAAGAAGAACGGCAATCGCCATGCGAAGAGTCCACTTTATCACCACGTTCGCCGCAGTGACGGGCCTAGCCTTTTTAGTTGGAATTTTTTTATTTTAACATTTGATTTTTCTCTTTATAAATGAAGAAATATTTTATTTTAAAGTTGGATTTAAATATACTTGTCAATTAGTATCATTGTAAATATTACTAGACATCATAATAATATTCAAATTTAAGAAAATGTTGCTTGTATGTATGAAAAAATAATTTAAATAATTAATTAATAATTTTATTATTTTATTTTAATTTTATTTTATTTTAATTTTACTGTTAAATTTTACATTGTCACTTTTAGTATGGGGTATAGTATAGGGAACTACATTTGTCACACGAGCATTCAAAATTGTATGGGTTGGATTAGCAGTTACTGCGATGGCAAATCGGGGCAGAGCCTAGAAGTAGTAAATAAACAGCAACGGCAATAAGCGGCACAACGACATACACATTCTTAGCCGTAATGTAAAATGCTACTTTAAAAGGTACAACAATTAAGCAAAGAGGATATGATAACGCTTAATGGATGCGGGAGAAAGTGTCTGTCATCAATAAAGTACCTTTATGCTAGAGATAGCTAATGCTAGAAAATTTTAGGTGTTTCTAACGTAAATAATTTATTCGTAGTGTATGTTATAAATAACTGTCATTGTATAAAGTTTCCATACCTCGACATGTTAACATTTACTAGACCTGCGAACCTGATGTTTTGCTGCCGTTTCACTTCTTTTTTTTTTGATTAAGTACATAACTACGTAATTAAAACAAAATCTTCGTAAAATTTTCATAAAAAAGGGTACAAGGCATTCTATATGAATTGAAGATACTCATATGTGATATGTTTTCGGTACTTATTTTAAAAGTGGGTTTATATGCTCATGAGAGTACCTACAAAATATAGTACTTTGACATTTTCTTATGTGTAGTGCATGTATTAGTACAATAAGTTTATATCCAGCAAAACAATATAATTTCTATGAACCAATATATTTGTAAAGATGTAACACAACATAACCAGAGTTAAATACACCTCAGCATCTAATCTTAGAAGTACCGTTTGATGTTTCATACTTTTCAAGCAAAAACAATTTTGTATAAGCGTACCTTTTTTTTTCCGTGTGGATAAGCGTACCTAATTCACACAATTTTAATAATCTTTTCCGTTCCGTTCAGGAAGTTATGAATCTGTTTTTATTTTATCACAATATGTACAGTTCTTAATGACTATTTTTTTACAGTAAATCTTTAGTTTCTTAATTTCTAGGTTGATCAGATGTGTCAATGTTTTTTACGAAATAAATATGCAATTATTTCGTAAATATGTTAGTTTAACATTGCTTTGATGTTATTATTACTATGTAAAGACAAATATTTGTGTGATGAGCATAATCATTAAATTTGTTCTGTGGCTGGGTGTAATTCATGAATAATATGTATGTATTTAGAAATATATAAGTAAATATGTTTATCAGCTGTCTGGTTACCATAGTACAGGCTCTGCCTAGTTCGGTATCAGACGGCCGTATGTGAGATGTGTGAGGTTATAATTATTATTATTCGTATAAAAATATTAATTATTGTGTTATTCTTAGGTGTAAATAGTTCAATATATACATGTATTTGCTGTATGTATATACGTACTTTGTATGGCCTATGCAGGCATAGATATTAAAAGACCGTTTCTGTTACAAATACCTACTCTTTTTTTTCGTGTAAATACGAGCATAGAATAAAATCTCTTGGCGATTTTAGGAACTACCGAAGCCTTCCAATTTAGTTTGTGATGAGTTGATTTCGTGATAAAGAAAATGCCAATGCCAATTTTCAGCTTCAATGAGGTGCAAACCTCATTGAAGCTGAAAATTGAAAAAAGATTGTAGATTGCATTTGGAGCCCAAACCTCCCCTCTAATTCTAGGAAGGGCGGAGACTTAAAAAGCAGCAATGCACTTGTTACTCTTGAGTTACAGGTAGTAGTCACTTCCATCAGGTCACTCAAATGTTTGTTTGATATAAAATATATATGTTGAATTTATGGATATATCTGTCCGTGTGGTGAAGGATTAAGAATACGGAATGTCACCACCCCTATTCATCCCGTGGGTGTCGTAAGAGCCGACTAATATATAACTAAAAACAGTATTGTATTTAATATGTAAAAAATTGAATTTGGAAGCATAAACAAATCATCCATTTATTATAATCTGAAACATTATATGGTGATTTGACCATAAAGAAAAGATCCTTCCGTTACAAAACGTACCTAAATGTATCATCGAATATGTCATTTATTCTACAGGCTGCACCATTAAACTTTAGCCCTGCCGTGCCGCCCGGATCTCCACCATAATTTTATTCCTTCATCAGGCGAGTTTTTTTTAGTTAAGTACCTATCTTTATAATGCAATTAATTTTTGTATTAGGTATTAGTCCGAACAATTCCTCGGAGCACTCTCCATGATATATGCAGAGTGAAGCCACATCTCTACGTAACGCCAAGGGATCGAGCCGATCGGGGATGTTTGGGTTATCGAAGATCCTAGTCGCTCTTAGTTGAATGCGGCCCATATGGAGAAGCTGATACTGAGGTGCCCCTGTGGCCTGCATAGAGATGAGAACAGTATTCCATATGCGGCCGGACTTGAGCCTTATAGAGCTGATGGCGGTGGGCCTAACACATTGAGTGATGTCTTCGTCTTTGGCTTCTGATACCGCTACAACTAATACGTGTCCTAAAAATTAATACGACGTTCGGTACTAACAACGTATACTTAATACATTTTAGAGCAGATGAAAAAAATGTTTCACTTTTATAGCTTCAAAGATACACTTTTGATGTTTTGCTACATAACTTAACTGTGTTCAGCGTACCCAGTAAAAACATTTTTAATTTCTTAAACTACAGAGGTACCCTAGGTACTATTTATTTCCATTTGCGTACTCCCTAATTTTGCGATAACTGTCAGCCCCTTTTTTTTTTGTTCCGTGCGGAAATCCCATCGGATACCACCTATCGGTGGCATGTCGGACTCGAGCCGACTAAAACCGCACGCCGTCTCGGGTACTAATAGCCGGGGAACCAGGTATACCCTAGAAAGGAAGTCCCTGGTGCCCAACTGTCAGCCCCTTAGGGCTCACGCCTGTAAGCTTTAAGAGGTAGGCAGAGGTGTATTAAACACCCACATTTTGCCAATATAAATTTGGTCCCACTAACGTAATAAGCGGCACGCCTATTGACTGGGCAGTGTATGTGTAAGTATTACCACGTAACTAGTATTCTATTGCAAAATCTAGTATTCTATTGCAAAAACTACACTATTGCAAAATCTATATCAATTACATAATAGGCTTGTGTCCACTAATAACAAATAGATTGGTTTATAGTTTCAAATTATAAATGAAGAGATATAGATAAGAAAAAATCAGTCTATTTCTCATAAAAGTTAAAGATTATAATATTTTTTTTAATAAATTCATACAAAATAGGCATTAAGTCACGTGACAGCGAACACAAATCAGAAAGTGTTACGTCACGCCACGCAAAACATTGTTGCTGTTGACGTTTTCATACAACAGAGCAGGTTATTCCTTATTAATTTTTTGAAAACTGTTGACACTGGACACAGATGTAAACAGTTTTATTTCGCAGACAGTGACGTCATTCAAGACGCCATGACACTACTCAGCGTTTTCGAAGGAAATTTTAATTGTTTTTTTTTTAAATACAAAATACGTAATATAAATATTGCTTTTTCTTTAAAATATAGGTTTTTTTTGGGATAAAATAGAATTAAAGTATAAAATTAACCAAGTTTTCAAATTGAGTCAGCTAGCCCATTCCTTTTTTTAACTGAATCTTCTTATTATATTATTATAATATTTATTCATATTTAACAGTTTGAACACAAACATAGACTAACTGATCACGAATCACTGATCACAGTTAACAAGAGTGAAAGTTCGTATACAAACGTTATTTAATGGGCTGTGACAGATCCTTAATAAACTTGTGTAACTGTGTGGCGTTTACAAAAATATCTTTTGTTATATTGATATTAAACCTTAATTATTAAAATCAAAAAATAAACAACTATCGATAGTATCGATACTTTCGATAGTAGATAGTAAAGTTGTCAGGGACTAAAATGGTATCGATACTATCGATTGCATAGCTAGCATAGCGACCCCTAAATTTAAAATTATACGAAACTATAAATGCTCCTCCTACAGCTCTATCTTCACAGGCGAATCTATTGCACTATTGAAAGCGGCCTCCTAAGTGGCTTTTCCTAAGCTTGACAAGGCTCTTATTTTTTCTGACTAATTGAGATGCCTACAAGATCTTTAAAAAAACCCATTAAAGTTCGCAATAATTTCCCTATAATTCTTAGAATTAAAGAGATTCTTCACATATGCCTATTGTCTGGTATTGAAGTAGTGCTGTGTGGGTTCCCAGCCATTCAAGTATAGCAGGTAATGAAAGCGTAGAGATTTGCGCCAAAGTAGCAGCACAAACTGGATTTGCATCCCACAAATTCTGTTTCACTCGAGATCTGCGTTGTCTAGCTAAGCTTTCATTAACTGAGTCCTGAAATAATAAATGGCAAAACAGTGAAATGATCAAGGGTAAATTTAATATTATTTAACGGGAATTAACGCGATCTCTTATTTAGGGTATTACATACCTCTGGTTTGCCTGACGTTTCGACCAGGTTGCACCGGCCGTGGTCACAGGCTGACTGGCTCATCGGCGCACGCCCTCCGTCGTCGAATCCGTGAAGTAGAAGGCTCTTCATCTACCCGCACATTTTCGATATTGTTTTTGTGTCGCCATGTACCGTCACATACCACACTAACAGTGTCCCTATTCTGTAAGCAAACCGATGAGTCCCTATTCTGGTGTTTAACCGATTGCGCAGAAAAGCGAGGTGGTATGTTTTTTAACACTGGATTCCACGCTGTAGATAATTTAAAACCATCTTCCCGATTGAAAGTTTTATGCTTTTTAATCTCAATCGCTTCACGT